ACATCCTTTATCGTCTGCCCGTTACTTCTACTACCGTCATGGCGTAGATTTGTCCACTACCTTCTATCCACATCTCTTTTCATCATCGTATACGTTATTTCAAGCATTGTCTCGACTTGAAAAGAGAGTAAAATATTTTTCAAGATTTTTTAAATTCTATTTATCTTAAATAATATTAATTGAAGTTATAACATGTTAAATTCACAAAAAGTTCGATATTTCCTTCCTTAACTCCATTCGCGATTTATTTAAATGAATAATAAAGTTTTGTACGAAGGGTAAAAAAATGATACAGATTTATGTTTATATAAAACGGATAAATGGAAGAAAGATAAAACATTATTAGACATCTTGACTCGTCTTTAGTGGTTCTTAATGCAGATTCAACCGAAGATATCCCTTAGTGATCTTTTCAACGTGGATCATCACCTCAAACTACAGTACAAAGAGAATTTTTAATGAAAGTTCTTTACATTCTCAAATGGAATCCCTTTTGCAAACAACTTATCATGTCTTAATGTGTGTACAGATTCACTTTCTAATACGTAAGCTATATCATCTTTCAGTTGGATTTTCGTAAAAACCTTTAGAACGTTTTTTTTTTTTCTTTATATTATATACACTTTTGTTCATTCGACAATCGATTTAAAAGTCGATCAAAGAAAGAAATCCAACATTCGAATAAGTCACAATAGCAAGGAAGAAATAGTGGTCTGACGAGAGAATCAACTCGGCAGGACTCATTTAAATGTATGATACCGCTTGCCTTCTCTTATTGTATTATGGTAAATACGAACTAGTAGCAATCGTTTTGTTCACAGGCGGAGAACGAAGGGTAGAGTGGTCCACCTTGTTCGTTGATTGCAAATTGACTTCGCTACCGAAATAACATCGGCGTACACGTAAAACGTGACTCTTATTGCATCGAATTCGTTACAGCATTCGTACGTGCGAGAGAGAGAGTGAGAGAGAGAGAGAGAGAGAGAGAGAGAGAGAGAGAGAGAGAGAGAAAGAGAGGGATAGAGAGAGAGGACAACGTGTTGAAAAGTTGGAGAAATTTCGAAATGAAAATCATTCTCGCATCTAGTACGATATTACAAGATAGTTTTCATTAGTCCGAGCTACGAGCGTAGGCACTAACGAGCACCCTTCGTAAACGACGAGCTTTCGAAGCTCGGTGCATGGAATATAGCATGGAAGAGCGATTTGCTCGTCGTTTCGCTTGAAATTATATCGTCGCGTCGATGTGAAAATGTTAATCGACAATCACGGGAACGATTGTTGACTATCCTAAATAACCGCCTTAATTGCGACACAGTAATTATAATAGCATGATTATCGGGCGCGCCAACGTTGATTACTACTCGTCCCTGTCTCGTCTATGTCGATCGAATTATGTCGATCGATATGTAATGGATTCGAACGAGAGCTCAAAGGAAGAGGCTTGATTTTTATTTATTTTCTTTTTTTTTTTTAACAAGATTTCGTCTAACAACGATTGCTCGTCTTCTTGGTTTGAAGAAAAAGATAAAATGGTTTGAGTGTAAGAGATAAAGAAGACAGACTTGATAGGGAAGGAAAATTCTTTGTTACAAGGATAGAACATATGACGTTAATAACAAGTACAAGAAACGACAGGGAGTAATGACTTTCATTAATTCAAAGAGTTAGGCCAGGTAATAGAATCTTTCACCTTAATTTTAATAATGCGCTTTTGTATTCGGGATCTTTGGTATGTTTGATTGCAACGTAATAGGAGCTCGTTCGTTTGCCACCACAGTACTACTACTAATACTACCACTACTATCATCATCACCACCACTACCACCATCAGTGCTGTCGCGAAAGCTTTTAATTAACCATAGAAGAGAGAGAACGAAGCGTCGGCAACGCGAAGGGCGACAGTAGCGAGGTCGACGACGTTTCTCGAGGATATTTTCACAAAGCCGACTCGAAATCGACGAGATAGTCGAGAAAGGACGCTTTCTTGAAGTTGGCTTTGCTGGAGACAAGGACAAGAATAGAAGGAGGACTAGGCAAAGGAGCTTCGTAGCATCGTCGTGGCAAGAGTTGAACTTCTCAAGACAGTACAGTGTACGATCGAGATAATGACTGGAGCTTATGCTACACAAAGGGAGAATACCAGCCGCGGCTCGGACTTGGAACGCGACATTTGTGCGCTATAGCTTAAGTTTCGTAATACCACTACTTGTACAGCCGGCTGTTCTGATACGAAAGATAGTAAAGAGAGATCTACTACGTGGACTGTTCTCTCTTTAACTAAATTTGCATATCCCCTATCTTCAAAAAAATTTACCGTGTTTTACCTGTCTTTTTTTATACGTGCCTTTTTTCATTTTCTCTCCCTCTCTCTCTCTCTCTCTCTATCTATTTATCTATCTATCTATCTATCTATCTATCTATGTATCTATCTATCTATCTATCTATCTATCTATCTATCTACCTCTCTTTATTTTTTGTTCGAATTATAACAAAGCTTATAATCTTTTTGCAGACGAGAAGCGAGAATATTTTGCTTGATTGCGCTGCGTCCCAAAAGAACGTAATCCAATTCAGCCCATTTCTTTTTACCTCTTCAGCCGGACACTCGAAACAAGCGGCATTCATTGGCATTCCCATGGATATACCGTTCCTCGAATCAACCTACGTACATTCTCGCAACGTTAATTTATCAAAGGGAGAAAGAAAAAAAAAACGATTATTAAATGGAAGATCCTCGATAGGGAGGATGGTATACGGTTTCGTCGGAATAACGCGTATCGCGGTGTTGGCGGCATCCAGTTTTGGATGAGATGAGACTAGAGTAAACGATATTTGCGAGGTTGGAAGATCGATAGCAATTTAGCCACCCTTCGCCATTCTGTAGGAGCACCACCGGAGCATCCCCCGTAACACCGAACGCTACGGGTGGTAACCTCTCCTCCTTTCTTCTGTACGAGCAATCCCCCCACCCTAACTATCTACCATCTCTTTACCTCGTCTCCGGTTCGTCTCTTTGCATCTCTGCAACGTGGCCTAGTCGGAACTCATCCATATACATCGGGAAAATTAATATCTGCCCTTCGTTGGCTTCGTTCGCTTCGTTCGCGCTCTGAATAAACTCGCTCGTGAGTTTTCTCTCTCTCTCTCTCTCTCTCTCTCTCTCTCTTATATTCTCTTTCTCTTTCTCTCTCTCTCTCTCCTTCTTCTTCTTTTCCTCCTTCGTTCTTCTTTTCTCGTTCTCCACGATAACGATCGAATCTCTCACCTTTTTTCTTCCTCGTTTCCTCTTCTCCTACAGCTCACCTTTCGGAGCAGCTTCGATGAATCGCGCTTCTCTCGGCACCCTCGTCTCTTTATCCTTCTTTGAACGAAAATAAATTTGAAAAGTTTGCCAATAACATTATTACTGTGGGACACACTCTCGGCTACTGTACATGGATATTCGGGTATGTATGTGTGTGTCTATCTGTAAGATCGTGTACTCGTAATAACGAGTAGGTATCGAGTCCCACTTCTTACAAGCCTACCGCTTAATGTTATCGACATAATTTGTGAGCTCAAGGTTTACGTTGGTCGAGCGAGATTGCGTTTCACCGAAGACAAATCGTTCCTTTTCCTTTATCCTCCTAGCAATATCTTTCTTCTTTCTTTTCTTTCTTTCTTTCTTTCTTTCTTTCTTCCTTTATCTTGCTCTGTAATAGAGAACATCGATCGTAACTATAGTATTATGTTCGTGTTAACCGCTATGTTACCAATTTTTTTTTTAATTTAAGATATCGTATCTCAGCGCACCTGAGTACAAACGATTTAAAAAAAGGTTTATCATGTAAAACATTAGAAATGTAAATATGATCGATACAATGAACGTGTATCATTGCAAATTTCAAAGTCCAGTCATGGAAATGCGTTAAAAATCATTGGTAGAAATCCACAACGTTTTAAATACATATTTATAACAACACGCAACTTTTTCTCTTGCAGTTACATACTCGTGCAACTTTGCAGTATATTCAGCAATGCTCAAAATATTGATAAAAAAGAACCAGCACCAGTATAGAACGTTAGTATATATAGCGTACGTACGAAAGCACGAATAACATCTCTCGTTCGATGTTAATTCGAGAATGCGTTGGTCATCCCATTCAAGCCCCTTTTCTCTCTTGTGATTCGACGATGTAACGAAAGATAATGCCCGGCATATATCTGAACTGCTTATATTTACATATTTAACTAACCCAAGCGGGGTGGTGCTACGGTGTAAGCATTAACGCAAATACAAACGCATAATCTCGAATGTATTAATTCAGGCCGAAGTGCATACTCTTGCACGCTACAGATAAATACTAACGTATACCTACATAACCCATCACATGCGGACTAGAAATGTCGATAGTCATATGTTAACGTTTATATATATATATGCTCCGTAAAATATTTTTTATATCGTACATGCATATGTACATACAATGTATGCATACATGCATATATACATGCATGCATAGATGCATGTATGCATGTATGTATGCACATATGTAAAATGTACGAGCAAATGAGAACAGATTTTATTCATCAGCTGAAAGTACATATGTATGTGCACCTCTTGACGAATTAATCCTGAAACATAAAAAAAAAATCACGATGCGAAGCAAAGACTGCATTCTATGAATTATTTGCAATAAGAATAAACGTAGCCGATTTTTCTTTCGTTCACGATCATAATATCCTAAAGAATTTATCAAAGCACAAGACGTTAATAACGCGTTACTTCAAGTTCGCGTTACTACAAGTGATGCCAATTATTTACATGGCACGCGTTCGCTCGCGACGCGCGAAGAATCTTGTTCGTTTGTCAACACGATCTTTGCCAAGCTCGAGGTCGATCTCGATCTGGCATCGGAAACTATCCACTTTGCGATAGTTGTTCTATCGAATGAAACGTTTTGCTATATAACATCGAAAATTTTTCATCTCATTAAACTCGATCTTTCATTTTTCAGGAAATAGCAGTTTGGAACTGTTTGATAGCGAAAGCGGGCCGGACCTCACGTTATCGCCGCAAACCTTTACATCGACGGCGGAAGCTTTCATCAACGATAACAGCGATAGCCTCGGTGTTCCGGGAGACAACGATACGGGTAAGTTATTCGAGATCGAGGTCGACAGTCGAAAATTTGCGTTGTCGATGAGTTAACGCGTTCACTTTATAGGATAGGATCAGGATATCGAAATACGTCGATAATATTATAAATAATAATTTCAAAAGTATTGCAAATTATGTATTTATTTATTGATCATTTTTAGATTCATTTAGATTCATAAATTATACAATCTTGTACACTATGTACGATATTTGACCCAAAGATAAATCCTATATACTTGCATATAAAATGCTTTATTTCAATCGATCAATTTTAAATGAACTCATTTTGGATATAAAATTAATGAAAATATTTGTTACAAAGGATTCATTATTATAAACATAAAGCATACTCATGCATAAATACTTTGAGGAACACTTTTCATTATTGAACGATAAATTTGTTAAGATACTTGGTGTATAATTTCGTTCGCAATACCGATTAGAAAACGAGAGAGTGCGTCGACCCATTAAAATCGTTATGTCACGAAGACATGAGGATAAAGAGAGGAAAGGGGTAAATAGGGTTGCGACGGCTGCGATGAAACCGACGACAATACATTAACGTAATTGTTGCGCTCTCTCCTCTTAGAAATGCGATGCTCACCACATTCGGAACACGTTGGAGATGTGGTATAACTAGTTCAAACAAGTCGGGGAGACCATTTCCGCGCGTGTGCCGCGGCATATAATGCCTATTGTTTCCGGTACATAGAAAGGACTTGAGGGCGGTTGTATGCGAGCGCCACGGAGTCATGCATTGTTTCCTCGGGCACGCATTGCTCCGGTAATCAAGACGCGTGCTGCTACCTTTAAATATCACCTTCCGACTATTTCATATACACTCATACTTTTCGTTGTTGTATAATGCGTCGCTACCGTCAACGCCGTGTTAATTTTTTAATACCATAGCGTAAATCGAGGAGTGATGGTTTACTGTTTTTAAAAGTTTCATTACATTGTAAATTTGATCAATATTCAAAAATTATCAAAGCAGATAAATATATTTGTAAATTTTGTAGAGACATGAGAGATTATAATTTCATGATAAAACTAAAAAATAGTCCTAGATTTTTGTAAAAAAAAAAAGAATTGTTTATCATACATCTGAATTGTATGGGAGAGATACTTCATGATTCAGAATATCATGACCCAGATAAAATTACATTTAATGACGTACTGGAGATTGGATTAGTTTTATTGATCATTTTGTTTGACATACCTGTCACAGGAGTACTTTTATTAATTACTTGCGAATAATCAGGTGAAACTTGTTCTGGTTCTTTATTTTCTTTTGTATATTTTTCTGTTACATGAGGTACATGGTTGTTGTTTTTCATTTAAGAAAGCGCATAATATACCTTTATCTTTAGAAATGATTAATCTAAAGAATAAAAATCCATTATTTTCATAAGCCAAGTTTACATTGTATCTAAGAATGTAACAATGTATATTTTTATGATGGACCAATAAAACTGAGCCATCAATCCCAAGAGTCAGAGAATGATGACTTGCTTTTTCAATAATGTTATAATAATATTTTATCACACGATTACAAACATAACTATATACTACATTAATGTAGTAATTATATACTATATTAATATACTATATTAATGCACTATAATACAATTATATACTGTATTAATATAGTGGATTCAAAAAATTATTATTTTTTGATAAATTGTTACTAAATAATGATTTAAAAAACAAGCAAAAAATTTCAGAGAATACTTAATTTCTACATTATAAATAACTTATCTAATTTTTTAATTGAAAACAAATTGTTCGTGAGTTTTTTTTAATAATTGTCAGTCCTATCAGTATTTAATCCTAAAAATATTTGAAAATTGGACTATCTACAAAATATAAGACCGAATCGTTTTATTCAGAATTACTCTATTAATTTGGATGAAGATCGATGATTAAAAAAGAAGAAAAAAAAATAAAGTTTAGCTATCTTGTTTGTTTTTGAAGAAGAAATTATGTGGGAGTGAGAAGCACACGCTAGATAATAAACATTCATGGAACATAAAATTCGAGCTAAAAAGCAGCACATCACTCATCTAAATCCGAACTAAAGAAAGCAAATTTATATGTAGGTATGCATTATCACGTTTTGTCTTTGCTTCGCTAGTCATTTTTCTTCTAGAATCATTATCCCACGTGCGTATTTTCTACTCCCTTACTTTATTTATTTCTTAAAATCATTATTTTCTTCTTTATGAATTTTCTAATATATTTACTTTTCTCGCAGATTGATCATAATTGTTATCATTTGTTAATTCGAAGTTAAAGTATTGCTTCATTTGATAATCTTGATAGGTATACATGTTGTATAGGATAAATCTAATTGCGATCTGTGGCAATTAGGATCTCCAGAGAATCGATTAGATAAGCTATTTGCCATTCGACTCGATCCATTTGATTTGTACGTTCCATTCGAGCATTCACCTTTCTATCGATTCGCTTGTTCCATTTCAGTTTCTCTCTTTTTTTTCCACCCTTCATTACTCGCCAATTTCTCGTTGGGCACGACCGAAGAGCAAAGTGGAAAGTGGCGAGGAATGGTTGGCTGGATTTATCGAGGCTGGTTTGCGGTAAGAGAACTACGCGCGGCTTTACGATGAAGACCAAACGGATTTTGCGCGGCAAACTGTGAACGTGATCTAGATATACATACGTATAAACTATAGACTGAAAAGAATAATTGGGTTCAAACGTTTTATATAGTGCATCCTTTTTCAAATTATTCGCGCGAAGTTCAAATTAACTATTTAATAAATATAGAAGAGATAAAATAAAATTTTCTTTTCGTTATAAAAATGAAAAGAAAAACTCCTTCCTATTTCTGATGAAAAATTTTATTACCATCTTTGATAGATAAATTTGATATTTGTATATATCGATTAAAATAATACACTCGGTATATATAAATATATTACGCGTATATATGTAGGGTAATTCCAAATGAGATGAACTTGCGGGTGACACGACTCAATCAATATAATCTAATTTTCAGATATTTTTAATGATAGGACTGACAATTATTAACAAAACTCATTAACTCTTTATTTGTTTCTCATTAAAAAATTAGGTATATTATTTGTAATATAGAAATTAAATACTCTCATAAATTTTCTGTTCTTTCTTTAACTCATAATTTACTAACCATGATTATTCGCAAACAATTAATAAAAATACTCCCAACACAAATACGAGAGACAAAATGTTCAATAAAATTAATCCAATTCTTTGTACGTCATCAGTTATAATTCAGCTACTTAGAAAACGTAGGAGAAGTTACTTCAATTTTGACATCTCTCAAAGAATATTGAAAAAAGAAAAAATAGAGGAAATCGAAATTGGAAGAATCTCAAGCGGCAAAAATAACAAAACGTGATAAACATTTTGATAAGTCAAAACGCGAAAAGTTTATGGAAGATTCATCTTCGGATAAACATTTTTCAATGCAGAAAGTTTTGTGGAAGAAGATAATGTTGAATACATCAGGTGTGGGGAAAAGTACAGCTGTACATCGGATTCGATGTGTTTGATGTAAGAAGTTTACGAAGAATATTCAACATTTTTGAATTTATGTTTTTGAATATATCTTTGTGGAGAAATTTTCTAAAAGCAAAAGAAATAATTTTTCTTTCGGTTATATTTGAAATTTTTTTTTACCTACGCTATGACATCCAGACAGTCGGGATAAGATGAAATTGTGCATAGGAAACAATTTCTTTTTTTTTTTTTTTCTTGTTTCACAAAAATGTATGATTACTTTTTAGTTTTATCTTGATATAATTTCTCATGTATTTACTTATGGAAACATATTTTTCTCCTTTGAATATCGATTAAATTTACAATGTATTGAAGTTTAAAAAAAAAAGTGGGCTATTACTTCTCGATTTACTCTAAATATAATCAGAACATAATAAAAAGAGTAATGAATCGAAGACGAGTCGACATAACTCGCTTGGACCGAGTAGAACTTTTGCACGAGCATAAGTTCATTATAACAATTTTGGTACGAATTGTTAAGGTGAGAGAGAGAGAGAGAGACAAAGAGAGAGAGAGAGAGTGAGAGAGAGAGAGAGAGAGAAAGAGAGAAGGAGAATAGGAGAGCCACGAAGGGATGTTCCGTACAAGTTCTCGATGGTGGTGAGAGCCGCGGGCGAACGCTTCTGCTCGCTCCCCCCTTCCTTATGAATAAATTTCGATGCGACGAGATAATATTTGCATATTACCAGTTATACGTGTACACTTGCTATAGTTGGAATCCTTGCAAAACCTTTGCGGAAGCTTCGCGGAACTTTGCTTCTTTTCGATTGAGAATCGATTCTTACCTTCTTTTCTTGATTTCAGTAACGAGGAAGCCGATAGAAAAGCAAAATTCAGCGTCGTTTTATGAATAATAAAATTGATCAATAAAATTTATACTTTTCGAAGGCGTGTTCAATTTTTCTTTTTTTATTCTTTACATGGAACTTTTTGTGGAATTAATAAAGAAACAGGAAAAAGATGAGTCCACTTTCAAAACGTATCGATTCATACTCAGAAAGAAGAATTCGTGGACTAAAATAACTTCACGATTTTTCATTTTTTTATTCGCATATCGTAAAAAAGATAAAATGTTATTGGCGCTTGAAAAAAAAAATATAGAATTTAATGTGGTGTAAAAGAGATATTCCTTTTGTACAGAAAAAAAGATATAATTATTAGTTTATTGATAATGTTTATTAAAAAATTAAAATTTTTCAAAGGAAGGATATGCATTTATTTACTTCTTCTTTCTTTTTCCACTTTTTCACACTATTCGATTTAAGGAACGAAAATACTTTAGTATATTTCTTCATTGAATTTTATTGTATTTAAAATAACTTTTGGTTTTTTAATTGCTTAATTTTTCTTTTTGAAAGTTTTTACCACTGAAAGATAGATTAGATCTTTCGATACGAAGGCAGGATGCTTGAAATTGTAAATAATATATAATCA